AAATGTATGGTATGAAAACAGTGAACGACACCCTTTAATAAAATAAAAAATATTTTAATTTCTATTTAAGTAACATGATATTTATTAGTATTATCATAAATTTTATTATTCAGAATTAATGTACAAAAAAAGTTGCTTTTAAAATATAATTATTTAACAATTTTTTCATATTTATAAAATTTGTAATCAATAAAGCAAATTTTTTGAGGTTAGTTTTCTAGAAAGTATTAAATATTGAGGAAAATATAAACATATAAAATTTTGTATAAACTGTATAAGTTTTTAAATATTGTATATTAATTAATTTACTAGTGATATTTAATTAAATATTATTATTTTTATAGTTATTATCGTTTTTAATAGCAGTTGTCGTTCACTGTCTGGATGTCGGTCACTGTACCTTTTACCCTTCCTATTTTTGTATAGTATTAATAATTATATATGTATTTTGAAGATAAAACATTGATTATTGAATAATTTTTTTATGCATAAAATATGGATATTGCATAATATTGGTATAGAAGATATTTGTTTCTTTTGGTTGTCTTAAATGTTTCATATAAAAAATACTTCAATCCATTTAGTTTTCTTGGTATTCGATAACATTGGCATTAAAGATATTACGATTTTGAGGATAAAGAAAGATATTGGATAACATTAGTATTGAATATATTTTGATAATGCAACAAAAATATTGATTGTTTGATAATAGTGGAAGCTGGCTTTTGGAAAAATTTTTTGGTATTGGATAATTTTGGCATTAAAGATATTTTGATTTTAAGGATAAAAAATGATATTGCAGAATATTAGTATTGAATATATTTTGATATTGGAAAAAAATATTGATTATTTGACCACAGTGGAAGTTGGTTTTTGGAAAATTTTTTGGTATTGGATAAGATTGGCATTAAAGATATTTGGATTTTGAGGATAATAAAATATGATATTGGATAACATTGGTATTTAATATATTTCGGTATTGAAAAAAAATATTGACTGATAATAGAGGATGCTGGCTTTTGGAAAAGTATTTAAATAGAAAGAGGTTTGAATATTGTTTTAAGGGTTGAAGTTGTTTTATGGGTTAAATAATAGTTTGTGAGTTGAATATTGATTTGAATATTAATAAAAAGTGCAGAGGAAAATAAGTCAAATAATAATCATTATCAAAAATAATATAATATGGAAAAAGATTTAACAACGCTAATTCACGTTCATGTAAGACTATCATTGTTGCATTAGTTAGCTGAATTATAGTTAATGAAATATTTTATAGGTGAAACACATGTAAGTAAATTTTTTAAAGCAATAAACTAAAATAAACGATTTGTTTTGAAAAATGGCTTTATCAACAGTTTAAAAGTTGAAGAAGGATACCATGTCGAACATAGAAGAGTATTTTATTTTAAGTAATGACGATTTTAAAATTATTGAAAATGTAAATGAAATGTTAAATGATATGAATATGTATAAATTTCAAGAATTATTAAGAAATGATTCAAATTGTTTTTTCATTGTGCAAAATACTTTGTATTTACAAATGCTTGATTTAATTGTTCCAATTAGAGAAAGAGATAAAAATATTCAAATAGTTTATAGCGGTAATAACAATTCTGGTCATTGGATTTGTGTTTATTACGATAGAGTAAGACTTTATATTTTTGATAGCCTTAATGCAGGGTGTTTGAATATTCATCAAATAGAATATTTAATTAGATTGTTCCCTTTTAAACCAACAGAATTTTTTGTAGATGTTGATCAACAACCGATTAATACAGTTAAGTGTGAAGTATAATGCAATAGCATTTGCAACATCTGTACCCCACTAAAAATTCCCACATAGGCTTCCATATGGGAAACCACATGGGTCCCTATATAGGAAACCATATGATTTCCTATACAAAATCGTATACGTAATTGAAACAGGAATTTGAATAGGAAATTAAGTCGGAATTATCATATGAATCCACATCCAGACAGGAATGTACATTCCTATGTATATTCCTATTTCAATTCCTATAATATGAATTTTTTTTCAACTCTAAGATATATATCTTTCAATAGTAGAGGTTCCTGATAGACTACAGAGATGAAAAAAATTTATTGCGCAGCTGAAAAAGTTGAAGAAAACTACTGCGCATGATATTAAGATATAATGTGCATTCATATGATAATTCCTACTTAATTTCCTATTCAAATTCCTGTTCCAATTACGTATACGATTTTGTATAGGAAACCATTTGGCTTCCTATATAGGAGCCTATGTGGGGATTTTCAGTAGGGTATTGGTTAACAGTGTAAATTAAAAGATTAATTTATGAAACTGATAATAATATAATGAGCAAGCATTTGATATCATTTTTTGAAAATAATTAATTAAATCATTTTCCGGCAGTTAGAATGTCTAATATTAGGATTTCTATTTGTAGAGATTGATTGGAATTGTCTTTTCATAAATCGAGCTAAAAAACTTCAAAATGGTGAACTAAACCTTTCATATTTTTTAAAGACTTTTCCCAGTAAAAATAACAACAGAGTTCTGTCTACTGAAACTGAGAATGAAAAGAAAATACCCAAAGAAAAAAATTTGTCCTGTAAGATGAAGAAATTATCTACAGTAATTGAAGAGGGATTTACATGTTGATGTAAATTCAGTATGCACAACAGAAAATAATAAGAAAATAATTTCTAGTCTTATTGTTAGGGAAAATTTTGATCCCATGACATATCCTACAATGTTTCCTTCTGGTGATCCTGGATGGACTGTTAACCTTAAGCATACTCAAGGTACTTGTAATTTTATTCATTTACAATTTTATATGCATCGTCTTTCATAGAGAAGAAAAAAGCATGGATTGCCACATGTGCGTTTAACTATATGTTTACGTACACAAATTTACGATTCAGAAACTTTAAATAAAATGATATGTGCTGAAATCACAGACGAAATAAAGAATCCAGAACTTTTTAACATTATAAAGAGATTTTAAGTTCATGGGCCTTGTGGTAAACAAAATAGGAATTCACCCTGCATGGATCCTGAGATGGGTGAATTAAATATATTGCTAACAATTCGATTATCGTAGCATATAATCTTTATTTGAGTACAAAATTTAAAGGTCACATTTACTGTGCAATAATAGGTATATTATTATAACACCATAATGTTGAAATAGTAATACAGCAACGATTTCAAAAATAACATTATTAATTTTGAGAGATCAAAATTGCGATAACTTTTCGTCAAATAAAAATAAATTTTTAATTTTTTATAAAAAATTATAGATACCACGCGCGTGTACGCGCGTTTCTTTTAGCTAGTGTGAATAATAACGAGAGTAATAAAAACTATGTGTCTTTCATTATCGATTCAGGAGCCACTGAACATTTAACGAATTCAAAAGAAATTTTCAGTGCTTTTGAAAAAACGAAAACGAGCGTGATTAAGTGTGCTAACAAAAATGACGAAGCCGACTTGGTTGCTGAGGGTAGGGGTACAGTAAATGTTATTTCAAACTCAGACAACAAAAAGTCGCTAGTGTTAGACAACACTGTTTATACAGATTCACTTTCCGAGAATTTACATAAGAAAATTTGCGGAAGCGGGTTTGTCAACCTATTTGGATTTTTGCAAGAAATATTTTTTTTTCATCGGCTGCTTTTTAGTGCCACAATAGAAACCATTTAGATTTACAATTTTCATTAAAAAAATTATTTTTTTCCAAATTAATATACAAAATAAGCTTGACCGCTCATAATTCCCTCGTTTGTAGAATCACCCATATAAAAGCAACAAATTTTCCTATTTTTTTTTTATATTTTAGGGCAATTTTACTTATCTCTTTCATTTTCAAAAATTTACAATACTTTACAACCCTTTAAAAAACACCCCCTTACATTTGCCTAAACCTATATTCATCAAAATTCCACCCGGGATCGTTCAAATATATTTTTTTCTTCAAGGGCACTTTAAACAGACTAATGAACCAATTTTCTCGTGAAAAATTGTTCAATATCAACCCTTAATGTTAATTTTAGGGGTGAGCATTTTTCACACATATTTATTTATACTAAAACAACAAATTACAAAAGGATATGTACATTTTTTTACGTATAATTTGTTGTGCTCGTCGAAAACCCCTTTTTTGGGAACGAGTTACGCACTCGTTGCGCGTTTTCCCAGAACGATTACATAGAAATAAGTCATGTGATAAGTCATTTTGGAGGTCAGATTCGTTTTCAGCACAAAAAAATCTACAAGAATCATCTAGAACCAATTTAGCTACTCACTCTCGCAGGCCTGTGTTATGTTTATGCAGGTTTAATTTTGAATAATTTCAATTTAATAAAACTGATTTATCTCTTAAACATTGAAAATTACAGTGTAACTGCGATCAAAAGAAAAGAAAATTAAATCCCGTGGAACGAATTAGATTTTGAAAAACATCAAATAGAATCGAAAGCTGATAGAAAGTTAAGTAAATTTATTAATATATTAATAGTTTGTATACCTGTGATTTTTGAAGCTCTCTTCGGAAGTATTCACCAAAGTCCGGCTACATCCAGGACAAAATGTTACGTTTTTTCCATTTCATCTTTTAGATTGAAACATACGTAAATTTTGTCAAAAAGAATTTTGCGGTCTACCGAATTTATTTATTTTATTAGTTTTTTAAATAAGAAATATAAAAACGAAAATAACTCCTAGCGCTCGGTGGCAGGCAATATTCAAATTATGGTTATGTTCTTCCTTTAAAAGATTCTCGGCACGCCGGTGCCATATTGATAAAGTAAATAAAGTTCTGTAAAAAAACTCGTAAATGAGGTAAATTATCTTTACATAAATACAAAATGAAAGCCAGTAAGAAAAATAAAATTAATTCTTTAAAGTTATAGAATATGGAGAATCATGGAGCAGATATTTTCATGTTTATTGTGAAACTTAAACAACTATTTTAAAAAAATATTAATTAACTTTAAAGAAGCGATAAATCTTTAAATAATCTTTAATCCTTTTAATATTTAAAAAAATATTTTCGGATTAATTTGTACAATTGTGATACAAAGGGATAACAATATAGAGAAAAAAATATTTAGAACAATAATAACACTTCCAGATCATATTATTTTATTTGTACGCACTTATTTAAAATTTTTAACTACCTTCAAAATCTCCTTGATTGTGAACTGAAAGTATATAATGGGGATAAGACAAACATGAAAAAAATGTTTTATATATATATACACAGTATGGAAAAGACTAGCGTGAGAATTTCAACAGTATTTTCCCAAGTTTTATACTTCGATCGAAAAGTCACAGTTTTACCAACTTCCACGGCCTCGACCTCTGAAAGTTCCTCCCCTAAACTGCACACTACTTCCGCGCTTTCGAGGAGAAAAACTATTGGCAGTAGGACCACGGGGACTGTTGTTTGGCCAAGGAAGACGCGGCCCACCTCTAAATCCTGACCTTCCACGATGAGCAGGAACTCCTCGCCAAGGAGTAAATGGAGAAGTTGGTGTCACTGTTCTTATTCGAGGCCGAAATATAGACGATGAATTGGGAGACTCATAATCAAAAACTACCACTGGGTGCAATTCAGGTGCGCCAGGTGGTCCAACAGGACAAGTTAAACTAGGTGGAATAGATGAAATAGACGGACCTAGTAGAGGTCCATTGGGTGTTGACAGCAATGGCCCATTCACAACTTGTACGAATTTTCTTGATGTAGATTCTGACGATTTCTGACTATCTGTTAAATTAGTCGATGATCTGTTTGAAGGCTGAGGAGTGTTATTTGTTGAATTCATCAGAGCTTCTAATTGTTCCGAAAGCTGCTTCGGTGTCTCTGAATTTCCTACTTTTTTATTTTTTTCACTTTCTTTAATATTTCTCTTAGAGTCAGCAATCTGCAACAAATTCAATTTTTATAAACAGAGTTGACTCAAAAATATTATTTTATTTTTCCCTGATTTCGAGTCAAAATTAAAATTTTTTCCCTGACCCTAATGAAAATATTTTAAGTGGATTTCAATAACAGGCCTCGGATTGCACGACTTTTTCGACTTTTTTTTCTATTTCTCAAAATTGAATTATTAAAAATATATATTAACTTGAATTATTTCTAAATCAATTATTTAAAACATTTTCCAATTTAAAATTCTCCAAAGTTTAATTATTGTTTAAAGTTTATGAAATATCTACAAAAATTCCAGTTTCGAAAATTTTAATTGAAAATTTCTTGAAATTCAATTACTTCCAAAAATTTTAACTATTACTCTTCCAAAACTCAATTATTTCTAAAATTTTTAACTTCAATTTCTTTTTGTATTAATTATTTCTAATAACTTTAAGCAAGTTCTTCCAAAATTTAATTACATAAAACGTTTTTTAATTATTAATTCTTTAAAATTAAATTTTTGTTTATATCATTTTTAACAAATTTCAGTAATTCAAGTTTATTAAAATTATAATTAAAAACAAAAATTCAATTTTTTAAAACATTTTTTAGTTGAAAATTCTCTAAATTTTTGTATGAAATTTGTAAAAAAAAATTCATTAATCAAAATTTATAAAAGTTTTACTTGAAAATCTCCTGAAATTCGATTATTTCTAAAAATTTTAAATCAAACTCTTCCAAATTCAATTATTTTGCTTCCTCGTGGAGAAAGATTTGTAGTCCTTTCGTTTATAAAATTTTTAAAAATTTTGAAAACAAATTTTCTTCTATATAGAAACATGTTATATGAGATCCTAATCAATTGTCCGGATGTATGTGTATGTGTTTGTGGATCTTTTTTGTGAACACGATATCTTTAACAGGTTTTAATGGATTTGGATAAAATTTGGTAGACTTATTTATTACATTAATCTCTCAAAAATGACGAGAGGATTTTTAAAAATACCCCCAAAAAAAAATTTATCGTCTTTTTTCCAATTTTTTTTTAATTGAAAAAATTTTTAAATAGAAAAATTTAAGGTGGTATATAATAAAATCGTCCTCCTTACGTCAAGACGAATCGATTGGTATATATAAAGTGTATGTTTGTTTCAAATTTAAATTCAAGTTAATACATAAAATAATTGAATTCCTTGCATTGAAACGAATCGATTCGTATATATATAAAGTATATGTTACACCCAAAATTAGTTAAAAGTTTCTTAATTTTTAATTTTTTAAAAAATTTTATTAATTCACAACAGTTTTCAACTCGAAATGTTTTAAATCAATCAACTGAATTGTAGAAATTCATTGCTTCAGCAAATTTTTTGCTTTACACAATGAGGAAGCAAAAAAAAGGACCCCTTACTTGTTTAAAATTCTAATTAGAAATCTTCTGAAATTCAATTATTTCACAAATTTTTATTCAAATTAATTTGTTTTCAATAATATTTTAATCAAATTATTCGAAAATTTAATTAATTAAATCATTTTACGAAATTCTGAATTCGAATGTGCATAGCTTCAGTTGAAGTAAATAGGAAAAAGAGGTGTTGGAGCTTAATTTACAGTTTTGAAATAAGTTCAACATCAATATTTTAACCACAGATCACATACAAGAGGTTTTGAGTATTGCCAAGCTTTTATCTTAACAATTGGCAGCAAGATAAAAAAAGTTATCGCTCAATTCATAAAAACTTGAAAATCAAAGTCAAACTGTTTCAGTATTCTGTCGAGAATTTTAAAGAAAACAGACTTAAAAATCATACTAAATTTTTTTCTTATTCCTTATGACTCTTACAATAGAAATTCACTTGAATTTTTGATTTTTGTCAATTTGGTTATTAATGACAAGATGTCCCCATTTACTCTGAGTTTTCGAATTTTTGGGGTAAATGGGGATAGCTTGTCATTATTAACCAAATTTACAAAAATCAAAAATTCAAATGAATTTCTATTGTAGAAGTCATAAGGAATAAGAAAAAAATTTGGTATGATTTTTAAGTCTGTTTTTTTCAAATACAAGACAAAATACTGAAATAAAAAAATAAAAAAATTTCAATTGGTTCAACTATTATATATCTACCACAAATTTTTTTCAAATTTTTTCATCCCTTAATACAGTAATATACTTAAGGAAACTTTTTTCTTAAAACTTTCTTAGAAACTATTCTGTCCCCATTTACACCAAATTTTATGAAATTTTCTAAATTTTGAAGTAAATGTGGACATTCAGTTTCATGCGTTTAAAGCTTATCTACATTTTTTTCTGCTGCATAAAATTAATCCTGGGAATGTAAATAATAACTTAAAAAAATAAACCCGCAAATATTACCTTTTAAAGAAAAAAACTTACGTAATTTGTGGAAAATAGGGATTTTGGCCCTATTTACTCCAACTGACCCTAAATCAGACTTGAAAAAATTTCTTTTTTTTAATATCTCTTTAAATTATTTTTCAAAAAAAAATCTTCAAAATATGTCTCAGTTTAATTCGGTGGTTTAAAAAAAAATTCTTGAAGATATTTCTATGAAACATTCTTATTAAGGAATTAATAAATTTTATTTAATTTCAAATAACAAATTGTTCATAATAAAATATTTATCAACTAATTAAATTTATTGAAAATAAAAAAATAGTCCTTTTAGACTTTTCTTGTAATATAAACACGGTGGGCAGGAAGCAAAGATAAGTTGCACAAAAATGTCAACAAAAATTGAAAGTAGGGTTGCATTTGTTGAAGATTATAGAAGAAAAATCCGCTTAGAATAATATCCTTGAAAGTTATCCAGATTTTACATTTTTTAATAAGATCAATTTTCGTGCAATAGAAGAGGGGCGGGCGCACGTGTTTGTTTCTTTGTGTATATATGTAATTATGTTGGTACATGCACACATGCAATTCCCACACTTATAGCCAAAAATATTATCTTTTGTAATTTCTCATATACAAAATGATAAATATCAAAATATAATATTTATAATGATATTATTTTAAAAGTCACTAGGTGACACGGTGGCTATTGTACACGGAAAAAATAAGTTCGTCAATCATTAAGAGACTAGTCTGTCACTTTGAGACGGGACATTTTTTCCGTAGAATTTTAGTCAACTTTCTTCAATAACTTAAAAACATCGTTGAAATATTGAAAACGAGTCGTAGAATTTTTAGAATTCAGTATGTTAGCAGTTATTTTTTATTTAATGTTAAACTATTAGGAATAGATGTTTGAAAGGTACTTAATATTTATTAAATGTCATTTAAACTTTCAAATATTTTAAACTGAATTCTTTAAAAGTAAACAATTTATCGAATACTACACGAGTGTGCGCAACTTTAGTAAACGTTTACGAATCATTAGTGAATAGTCTGTGAAACGTTAGTTGACTATGGCAGACGAGATGCGCAGAGGTGCATTGCGCATTTCTTCCAAAGTTCTGCTACAGCCCATATGTTTCTGCTATACACTATATACGTGAAATGTCAATACGAAATTCAACAAATAATTTGCAGTCAATATCTGCCTAAAAATTGACCTCGATAAAAATGAATTTTCTTTTATATTTCTGACTAATTGAAAAGTGATGGTCAGTGGAAAATCTTTTCTCGAATGTGGTGAAAAATCTCGTCATGTAGTATATAAGAACAGTGACTTTCAGTGTTATAAGCGTGCGTTTGTATGTGTAGTCTTTAAGTACCTATGCGAATATATATGTAAGTAAGGTTTAGGTTATATGCGTCATAATTCGTAAATGTGTGTAAGTGTAAAAAATATCGAACTGTGCAATGAGAAAGTGTATTATCATTCTGTGCCAATCAGTGTTTGAAGTTACTAATAATTGTGAAAAAAATACTTTTTTTTTTGTTATTTATCAGTATAACCATTTTTTAACAGTCATAGAAAATTTAACAAATATTTTTCTAAATTTTAGTGATTATTCATTAAAGGTTGATGAATTCTTTCTAAATAGTAACAAACAGATACTTTTAACCTTTAAACGATTTTATGTCCCGTCTCAAAGTGACAGACTATTCTGTTAATGATTGACGAACTTATTTTTTCCGTGTATTCGAAAAAAAGTTTGTGAATCATTAAGAGAAAAATACATTTTTATCGAGGTCAATTTTGAGGAAGAAATTGACTGCAAATTATTTGTCGTATTTCATATTTATATTTTACGTATATATTCCCGAGGATTGACGAATCTACCCGAAACTATGAATATGCCGCGCAGGAAAGATAAACGACAATCATGCCTCAGTGCCAATCTCGTGCCTATGTATGTATATTAATAAAACTTGGATCTGAATAATGGTTTTTTCATTTTTTTACTCTCTTTCAAATTATATATTTGTCGTTATGAATAGCACTTTTGTAATTTTATCCCAAATAATAATTTAATATTTTAAAATATTTTAGTTTATTAATAATTTACATTTATATTTATTGATTATTTATTATTATTTCTTAAAATATTTTAAGATAACTTAGCTCAAAAATTGACCATTGATACTATATAACTACTTATGTGTAATACGTTGAGAATTATTATTATTTACAATTATTTTAACAATAATGGTCCTTTCTCATAAGTGGTGAAAAATTGTCTTGCTTAGTATATAAGCAAACCTCTGCTTTCACTCCTCAGCGTAGTTGCGTGCGAGCGTTTACATGTATTATGCGTATATTTGAGTGTATAGGTAGCATTAGACTGTTAGGTAGGTGTGTATGTTTCTATGTATTTGACTTGGTGAAAAGCGACAGGTATGTAAAACTGACCACCTCATCCCTCCATCTCCTTCTAAATCTCCTTAAATTTCTATCTGCCTGTCCTTCTTCATGTTCTCTCTATTTTCCCATTCTCATACTTTTATGCCTGTCTCATCAATTTTTAACAGTGCCGATATTAAAATTTGCTTTTCTTGGTTTTACAATTTGTAAAACATAAATTTCAATTATTTGAATGTTTTTATATTAATTTTTGTAAAGACAAAATATTAAATATCAGTATCACTTTTTTTAATTAAGAAAATTGTATTTATGAATTTTACAAATATTGACAAATGATTTACAGAATTAATAGTGACTATAGTGATTTTAAATATTGACCCTGAATAGCCTCACTTTGATATAGTAAAATATTAAATTTTGGTTCCATTTTTACAAATTTTTAATATAAGAAGTCTTTCCGTGTACCTACATATACACAAAGAAACAAACACGCCCACCTGTGCCTTTTCTGTTTCGCGAAAATTGATCTCATTAAAAAATGCAAAATGTGAATAACTTTCAAATAGGAGCAGCTAGGATTTCATTATAAACTGTGTAATAATGACTTTGTAACCGCAATACGTTGAAAGAATTTTTTCAAAAGCTTTTTAAACCAAATTGCTATTAGGTTCAATCCATTATATTGCAACTGAAGTCGTTGCTGACTAATTTTTAAAAATTATATTACTTTGCAGGAGTAATTTTGAAGTTATCAAGATCACGAAATGAAAAGAAGAACAAAGTGGCTATTTTATTTTTTAAATTTTTTATACTTAGGAAGAAGAAAGAAGAAAAGTGTATAGAAATTCTAAAATTTTATGACAAGAACTTCATATTTGGTGTGTTTTTATTTATTTAATGTTTCCTATTTTTTATAATTAATGAATATAAATCGCAAAATTAGGTTATTTGACAGATGCATTTGAAAATCATATTTTATATATTATTTCACATATTTAAATAATTATATCAATTGAGAATGATAATTTTTTTTATTTTTATTGTAAATTCTATGTTGTTTTGCATATTTTCTAATGGATAAAAAATTTAAAGTTTCCAGTACCTCATATACTTTAAATTCATATTTTGCAATAAATAATTAAATTTTTAATAAAATTCTTTTCATTTCGTGATCTTGATAACTTCAAAATCATTCCTGTAAAGTATTACAATTTTTAAAAATTAGTCAGCAACGACTTCAGTCGAAATATAATGGATTGACAAATTAATAATTATTAAAAATTTTACAATAAAGTTAATTATTTAATAATCATATAATACAAACCTGCGAGTCAGTAGCAATGACTGTATTATTTTTGGCTCCAGTTGATTGATTACCATTGTTAACATTACAATTAATGTTCCCACTGAAATCCGATTGCTGAGATTCTTCCGAATGCCTACTGTTCGGAAGATTGAAATCTTGTTTCCTAACTTCCTGATTTTCAGAAAATTCTTTTTGTTCTGTTTTCGTTTCTCCATTTGTAGTCTCTATGAGAATGGGATTGTTATTCTGTATCACTACTGGCGAAGATATTTGTACATTATCGTGAGATCGTTGCCTACGACTATTTTTTTTACTATGATCATCGGAAAATTTGTCTCTTCTATTACCACGACTTCCTCGACCGCGACCACCGCCACGGTCGATTCGATCACTCCGATGTAAATTTTCCCGTTGTGATTGGTCATATTGAGGGAATCTTCCATGCGTTTGCGATTCATCTTTATTCCAACGTTCATGTTGACTGTCACGATAATCAAAATCGTGTACAGAATGAAAGTCTTGTTGATGAAAGTTAAGTAGATTTTGTGGAAAATTTTGTGGGCTCGGTCCAAAATTTTGTTGAATTGAAGAAAAATTTTCTCGATTTGATGAAGAAAAGCCTTGCATATTTGAAGGAAAATCCTCTCGAATAGGATTAAAAGAATGAGGATGCGCATCTGATTGAAAATTTCCTTCGTTTTGTCTAAATTCCATTGGATTATTTTGCTGGAAATCTGAAGGCCTGTGGTGAAATTGTTGATTCGGAAGAGGAGGTGGTGGTGGCGGAGGAGGAGCTTGATGAATATTATGAACATCTTGAGGGCCACAGCCACCCGGAAGAGGAATCATTCTCATGTCCATATCCATATGATGTGAGGTTTCAGATACTGAAGGAGGTGCCCGCATATCTCGATCTTGCGATCGCACATCTACCAAAACTCCTCTTCCCTTTTGCTTAATTTCATTTTCATCATCTGACATATCCATATCCACGCTTTCAACATTATCTCCCGATTGCACTTGCCTAAAAACAAAAAACATAATTAATAAATATTAATTATCGCTGTCAAGTTAGAGTAATTATCCGTTTATTACAAGGAGTTTAATTTCCAACGAAATTCCTATTTATACAAATCCCTAGAATATGATCCAAATTTATCGTAATATGTATGTTGTGACGGGCAAATATTTCTTGACGTTATTTAGAGAAATAAATGATCAAATATGCTAGGATAAGGGTGAGAGGTCAATAGTTCGCTCCTGCGACCTTACATCAATCTTAGTGCCAATAGTTCGATATATTGGCGTATTGCCAAAATCATTGCCAATCATTACTATGTGTGTAGAGTTGATCTCCTTGTGATTTGTGTAGTCTTTTGCTAATTTTAATTAATAAATTACCTGGCGTCCGTGGGCAAATATTATTTTATTTCATCATCAAATAGAGCCCCAACAACTCTAAAGCCAGTCGCGCTGGGTGTGGAATAATTTTACATATTTTCTTGTGAATTTTGATTCTCTTCTTCTTATTTAATTATTTTTATAAAAACTAAAAATTATTCTGTCTTAATTTAATCCTCAAATATAGGGGAGGAGTGCCGGTTGTAGGCACCCCTATGTAATTTTTGACAGTAAGTAGATGTACGATTATTAAGTGCTATTTGGGTAATTTTGAACACCAAGTAGATTTTGATGATTTGAGTACGGTCAAAAGAGTATGTTAACAGTACACTGTTTTTGTGTTCTTAGAAGCAGTGAGCATAATGAAAATATCTTGAAAAAATTGAAGACAAATGTGATTTTCTCCTTTTTTTCTAAGTGTGTTAAATAGGTGTGAATTATTTCAAAAACTTGAGTGCAATTGTTTTTTGTACAGTGTTTACATTATATTTTGTGATTTAATTTCGGATTTAACTAAAATATCAGCACTACATAAATTTTTAGATTCTCCAATGGTGCCCATAACCGGGAACAACATTTTTTTTTACTAAAAATGGTCTCTTCAATAAATTTTTTAATAAAATATTTCTACTTAAAGGAATCAATTTAGTTTTTTTTACAGTTACCTAAGGCGTCTAGATTTCCACTGATAGGCACAATTCTCATAATATGCATTTGGTCAAAAGTTATGATCCATAAACAAAAGGGTGCCCTAGTATTTTTATCCACGAATCATACAATTTCTATTTGGGCGTATGTAAACTGCGCCGGGTAAACCTGAATTTTACCTACTTTTATCAGATGAGTATAATGTAACAGTAGTATATTTATTTAACGATTATTTACTTCAGCTAACATTTGTTGAGTACGGACAATCATAACAATAGTAATTAAATTTGATATCAATGAATTATTTTAACTTTAAATAAGTTACTACTACTCTATTTACATGGAGAATAACGTTCTAACACGATGTTCTATAAGGGACAAAAATGTGGATAAAAACGGTTTGTGTCGCATGTTTTGTACAAATTTATAGGTTCAAAATCCGGTTCAAATTGAATCCTTCCTGTTAATATGTTGGAGAAATCCATGAAAATTATTTTTCTTTTTCATCATTTTAAGTTCTTTGAAGATAATAATAGGTATTAAATTTTTAAAAAAATTTTGTTAAAAATATTCAGAAATATTTACTAGAAGTTATTTTTTATATATTAATAGAAACAGTTTTGTATTTTTATATTCAGTGCAATAATAAATTCAATAAAAGAAACAATTTTATCAACTAAAATAAATAAATAATTTCGAGTTGAATAGTCTTATTTTTAATTGAGCTGCCTGCCGGATAAAAGAAGGGCACATAACTAATGTTGTGTAACGCGGCCTTCTGCCCTTAGCTGGTCTTCCCCGAATATACCCAATCAGCACGAAAACTTGCAGCAAACTTGCAGGAAGTTTGTCGTGCAAGATGTGCAAGATTGCAGTGCAAACATATAGCAAGTTTGGCGCAAGCAACAAAATGTCCTCTTGTGGCAAGGTAGTTAAGCAAGCTTGCAGCAAAGTTGCAAAAAGCTTGCTGCAAGCTTGCCACAAGAGGACATTTTGTTGCTTGCACCAAACCTGCTGCATGTTTGCACTGCAATCTTGCACATCTTGCACGGCAAGCTTCTTGCAAGTTTTCGTCCTTATTGAATAGTTAACGAACGACTATATTTAACGAAAGTGACTATTGTGTACCTAACTTGAAGTCGGTGATTAATTACAAAAACATTGGAAAAAAGATTTATTAGGAAAAAAAGAGTTAGGAAAAAAAGGTTAGAAAGAATATAAGTTGGTAAAATAATAGGTTGGAAATTTTACATATTGGGAAAAATGTCCACCCAATTAGTATCGTTCTTTTTTATGTAATTATCAAATTTACATACATTTATTAGAAAATTACATTTTTTAGCACATTTCAGATGCTAAATTAATTAATAGATTTATAAAATCTATGTAGATTACTTTATTTCGTTAATTATAGCAGCAGCATGTATTTATTCATATGCCCTAAACCTTGCAAATGTCCGCTGCACTTAGTTTTAAATTTTCAATCATTTAAATCTACATTACTATTATTTATTCTTATAATTTTTTTCTTTTTTATATTAATTTGATTATTTGATTTTGAAAATCTATTTTTTAAGGTAAGTTTATACCTAAGAAGGATAACATTTTTTTAAAATGATAAACGTTCGCGAAATCTATACGTTGTTTTCACGAATTACAGTGAAAAATATTTTTTAAAAAAGTGTTATATAAGGGAAATTTTTTTATATTTTTCTTATGCTAGTTACTTATAAAGAAATATAAGGGAACTAATGAAATTTCAAGATAGTACATCTAGACAATAAATTCGACTGAAAAAAGAAATATAATTAATAAAGATTTCCTCAACTGTTCAATTTTCATAATTTTTAAGTACCGAATAAACTATCAAAAAAAAGTTTCTAATGTTCTTAGATTTATTTAAAAATAATTGAGGACCTACATTCCACAAAGTGTTACTTATTACTTATTGCCAGTACCTGGTTCCTGGTGAAATTTTACACATTCACATGACAATTCACTGTAAAAAATCCGGTCTGAGTTGTCATGTGACTGTGTAAAATTTCACTAGGGAACGTAGGGGCAAAACGGGACAGTTTCCTTAATTCACACATTAATGGACCAATAACACTGTGATAAAAAAAAATATGACTTCAAAAACTTCTTATCAAACCTAGTAGAGTTTGTAGAGCATAAAAAACTGAAAAGAATGGTGTATATTTAATTGCTTATACACCCTCAAAATTTAATTATACACGGAGAGAAGAGTTGTAGTATATTCTACTTTACGCGTTTAGTCAGCGAAAATTTAGTAACAACGACTAGATATAAAGTAGCATTTACGAAACATTGTATAGTTCCGTTCTGTTGATTTTACTAAACAGCGTAGTTGGAGAAACTGGCTGTTTAGTAAAAGTAACTACACATTGCGCAGTACGTCAATATTTAAAGATGGCGGCGGAACAGTGTCAATACTAGTTTAAAAGTGAAACGTTCTGGTTTTTAATTGTGAAAATGAACATTGCCGAATTATTAAACAATTGGGGATTTTCACAATACGCTCATGCGTTTGAAGGTAAGTTTCTAGGTACTCTAAGTGCTTCGCAGTATGTAAATCGTGTATAATGCACAAGGGCCAAACTCATCACATTCTAGGACTTTAAACTGCAAATGCATTAGTAAGTTTAATCTTTTACATTTGTTTGATGTTTTTATGTAAAATTTTAGAAAAAAAACTTTTTTAATTAATTTATATTTTTGAATTAAATACGTTTGACAACTTTGTAACAATGTTTAACGATAAGTGAATGCAATGTAAATAAGATTAATGTCGAACTGATTACCTAACCTCAAAATTGGCTTGCATTATTTTAATTAAATTAAATGCATTAAATTAAAAATGTATTATTTGTAATTTTTAAAATATTTGTTTCGTATTTTGTGTTATTTCAGAAAACAAAATTGATGCATTTGCTCTCAATTTGTTGACGTTCGAAACGTTGGGGCCTTTAGTTCCTCCTGTAGGTGACCGAATAAAATTACTAAATAAAATTGAGGAATTCAAGAATAATCAAGAAGTATGTGAAAAATCCAGAAATATCATTCAACAAATAGGTTATGTGTAATTAAATTAGTGTTTTGCTCAAAAACATTGTTTTCATTTATTAGGTAGTTGTTCATTTCCCAATTGGAAGCCAATTTCCAGGAGAAGACGAAGCAAATTCTCAGGAATTTCAACAACCTGAGGGAAATGCAGGGGCTACTGAGTTTCTTGAAAATGAGGATGTAAGTAATAAATAGAATTTATAATAATTAATTGCATTTGATGAAGTTTTATTTTAATTATTTTGATTCTTTTCTAATTTTCAGAATATTGTCGAAGAATATTTGAAGTGTCAAAGGGGAGAACGAATAAGGGTTAATTATTTTGGCAAGCCTGGCCAAAATAAACCAGCGGCGGAACGATTTTTGGATGTCACTCATCAAAAATTATTAACGGAATTAATAATTGAAAATGAATTAAAATCGTCAAGCTCTGAGTAATTTTTTCTTTTTTTTTTAATTAGAAGGTTTCGTATGAATAAAAAACGATAACTTTTTTTTTTGTTCAAGTTTCATTTTATTATTTATAATGTTCCAAAAAGATATGTTTCGATTTGAATGTGTTTAGGATTTCTACAAGTAGACTTTTGAAGCTGGCCGGAGATATAGAAAAAATTTTTCCTAATGAAAAGCAGGTAAAAATCATAAATTGACATAGATAATTCTACTAATATATACACCTGCTTGATTATATTATACAAACAAAATTAAAACCTCTCGTTTACATTTTTCAGAGTATATACTACATACCATATTCTTCAGTCAGAGTGAACCATAAAGTCGTGAAAAAAAACAGCGCACAGGGAAAATTGTGGTGGAAATACCATAATCACTGTAAAGTTTTAAGAAAGGATGGTGTGCGTACCAAGAGGAAAAGAAATGAATCACCAGCTGCATCAAGTAATTGCAATTTATATATAATTCTTATATCGTAATTATTTTGTGTCATTTATAAAAATATTTCTTCTTTACTTAGATGTGCCTGAATCTGCGGCAGCACTTCTTCTTTGGCTAGAGGGTCAGATTGAAATTACCGATAATCTCAAACAAAAGTGGAAAGATACTGCCATATGTAGACACCAAAAATTGATGAACGAGCAAATTGAATGCAACACTTTGATCAGAAGGTCCGGGATTTGTGTGCTGAATAGTTATTTTATGAAATACCCTTTTCTGAGACAGCCAGGAGGACATCATTATTTGGTAGGGTATAATTTGAAATATTTTTTTATAAAAAAATTTTTTTAAATTATCATTATTTATTTTTAGTTGGAGGATGATTTTGTAACTAAATATCCTGATTGTGAAAACAAACTCTTCGAAAAATGGCCGTCTTTCAAAGGGAAAGTGATTGAATTGTCGAAAAAATCAAATGGTGATTTTGCTTTTTTCCTTTTTTTTGACTTATTTATTTATTTAGGGAAATAAATAATATTAATATTAATTTTAACTTTAAATTTCTTACAGATCTCAGTGACGCAGCTATTCTTCTCGAATTTTGTAATTTAGTTACAGCCATTCAAAAATCCAAGCGGGTTTGTAAGACTTGGGTGGCAAATGCCGAGGAAATAAAAGAGGGGTTTCTTCTCCATGTCAAGGTGAATAAAGTTAATTTTTTAAATTATATTTTTAAATTAGAGTATTATTAAAGTATTGTATTTATCTCATATAGACTATAGATTCCTGCCAATTGCACATCGACAGATTAATCAACCGGGCCGTGCAAAATAAACTGCACCTTTCACCAGTGGCAATCATCGTAGGATCCGACATTGAAAACATAACTGATAGCTACAGATATGTGGATGGAATTCAGTTTCGAGTATCTTCTCCTCTACACGCTGTAGACAAAACATTTAAGTGCATTCATGCTCTCCATGCCACTTACCCACAACAGAGTATTTCTGTTTGGCTATTATTCCAAAGAGTAATCTACGATTTGATTACTGTCTGGGATTCTTCATGCAACACTGTCGAACGACTATTACAACAATTTGATTTGAATTTGAATTGAAGCCTACTTAAAGGAGTTCTTTAACTATTGAAGTTAAAATTCGTTGATTTTTAGAAAATGGCTTGTACAGTTTGCAAAGTTTAACGTATTCACTTAAATATTAAAGGTAATAGTTTATTAATGCGAAAAAAATATATTTTATATTAGTTAAGTCTAACAAATGTGCGTGTAAAGTATTTATTTGTACTCTAAATTTAATACATTTATTAAAATTTAAAAATGCCTCGTTGTACTATTTGTGAAATAGACAAACATTCTGTCGATTCTTTGAAGTTGCATTTAAAACTTTTTCACAAAGATTATAATGATTTGTTTACAAGAGGATGATTGCTATCGAATTTTTAAAGGCTGGAAAGAATTCCGTAAGCACCTCATAACTGTACATAAATCGGTAATTTTTGCACAGGATATCGCCGAAAGCAACGTAAATTTATCAATTGCAGGACCTTCAAATGCAGTCGATACACATTTTTCCGAAGCAGTGTCATTAAAAGATGGAAGTATTGAAAGAAAATCGAATGCTCCACTTACAAACGCAGCTATTTCAGAGATTGAGAACCTAGTGGAATCGCTGGCTGTGAATTACACTTCTAAACTTTACTCCAACCCTAGGCTCAGTCGTGATCATGTCCAGCATGCAGTTGAAGATGTTAGTGGATTAATTGAAAATATATTGACAACCATTAAGCCACATTTAAACACACAAGAAGATCAATTGAATAAAATTAAAGATGCTGTAATGAAACCTTTCCAAACTACGTTGTCGACAGAATATCGCAGGTTGCGAGTTATCGAAAATACGCAGAAGTACATCAAACCTCGCGATTATGTTGTTGGTGATCGTTTAGATAATATTCTACATGAAGGCAGAATTATCCAAGACAGAACAACTGTTACAGCGAAATTTATTCCCATGAGAGAAGTTTTGAAAGAATTTATATCTATGCCAGGTGTTCTCGAGAAAATTGACGAATATTTAAAATATCTTGAAGCGGAAAAAGAAAAAGGAATATATTCAAACTTCGTTCAGTGTGAGTTGTGGCAAGAAAAATTAAAAAAATTTGGTGACAAATTTGTTTTACCGTTATTCGTCTATTACGATGATTTCGAGATCAACAATCCTCTTGGCTCTCATGCTGGGGTCAACAAAATAGGCGCAGTTTATTTTTCGATACCGTGTCTTCCACCAGAATTTCGTGCAAGAGTTGAAAATATATTTACAACTGTGTTATTCAATTGCAATCATAGGAAGACAAATCCTGAAGGAAACGATGCAATATTTGGTATAGTTACAGACGAATTAAATTTTCTTTCGCATAATGGAGTTCCAGCAAATTTAAACGGGAAAAAAATAACAGTTTACTTTGCATTAGGATTATTATTAGGGGACCATGAGGCTCTAAATAGTGCAAGTGGATTTATGGAAGGAGCTAATGCAACTCATTACTGTATGATCTGCAAAATGAGTAAAGCCGAAAACCGACAAAATCTTCACATTCGAGAGAAAATGTTAAGAACTCCTGAACAATATGAATCTGACGGTTTTGACAATAAAAAAAACGGGAGTAAAAGAAAACACAATTTGGAATCTAGTCTTTCTATTTCACATTGTTAACAACTTTTTCGCGGATATAGCTCATGACTTACTTGAAGGTGTTTGTAAGTACGACATGCAACATATTTTGTACACGTTAATTATTGTAAATAAATCTTTAAGTCTCGACGATTTGAACGAAAAACTGAAATCATTTAATTATGAAAAAAATGGTTTCAGTAACAGGCCGCCACTTATAAAACAAGACGAAGTAAAAAACAAACACTTGCATATGTCTGCCAGTGAAATGAGAACATTTATTTTAATATTTCCAATACTTGTAAGCGATATAATCAAAGGTGGCATTGATGAGAATGAAGAAATCTGGCAATTTTTTTCATTATTGAGGCAAATATTGGACATTTGTTTTGCCAAGTCATTTAAAACTGAGACACTGTCTCTTTTGGATTCTCTTGTTCATCAGCATCATGCTTTGTACATTAAACTTTTTAAAGACACTTTGAAACCTAAGTTTCATACGATGAAACATTTTTCTTTGATTTTAAAAATGTCTGGCCCTTTATCGAATCTCAGCCTTCTAAGATACGAATCAAAGCACAGGGAATTAAAAACGATGATATCTAGTACAACGTCAAGAAAGAATCCGGAACACACAATTGCTGTCAAAGAGCAATTAGGATTGTGTCATCGCTTTCTTGCTAATGAAGGGCTTAATCCTAAATTTGAATTTGGAGTTAGTTTCAGCCTAAATTCTATTTTGCTATTAGATCGCTTTGATGAAGTTTCTAATTCTATCCCTAACAACTTTTTTGGACCGTGTTTAGATGTTTCTTGGGTAAACGTGAATGGGACAAAGTATAAAACTGGCTCTTTTATAATTCTTTATGTAAACCCCAACGGTTTTCTTGTTTTCGGCAAAATTTTAAATATTGTAATTAATGAAACGCGAGATGTCCTTTTGCTTTGTGAGAAGGCAGTGGTACAATCTTTTAATGAAGGATTACATTCGTATGAAGTGTCTCTGTCCAATGAATTAACATGTTGTTTAATCAATGATATTGTGTCGCAACAAATTGTCATACATAGCGTTCTCTCTGATGGACGAAATGTAATTTCACTCAGATATGCACTTTGATTCAGTTATATGTATACATATAATTTTTGGAAAATTTTGAGTGAAGAGTTAAAATGCGTTTTTAAAATTATTGTTTAAAAATATTTATTATACATTGTTTCTATTTTTAATAAACACATTTTTATAATACATTTTGTTATATTTATTTTAAAAATATTAAAACAATTGTCTTATTAAATAAAAAAATTAATACTTTTACAAGTTTTACAATTACTCTTCATTATAATTAGTTTATAAAATTCAAAATATAATTATAATTTAATTATTAATTGATTAATGTTAATGTATAGTTATGATCATAAAATGGAGTATATATTTCAATTTTATTTATATAAATTTTAAGGTTAAATTTTTTTAAAATTTTTAAACTATATTATAAAATTAACTATATGATAAAAATAAATAAATGGATATATTATTAAATATATAATAAAATTTATTTTCTCTTGTTATTGATAAACATTTAGTCTTCCAAAAAACAATGCAATTTTCAATATTTCATTTCCAAAAATATGATTTCTAATGTTTATAATATAGCGATTAAAGAAAAACTCAACATAACCTCTTAAAAATATATGAACAAACTATTGAAACAATTTTTTGTTTTACTATAAAAATTTTATATTTATTATCTACTATTATTGAAATTATTGCTATTAAATGCATAAATTGATATTTTAATTTTAAATTTATTCCTTAAAATCATATACATATACAGTATTAATTTTACTCTAGACAGGTTAGTCCGTTCAACTTTCTGTGTAGTTGAAGTTACTTTCTGCCACCTTGTCGTATTGACAAAACGCCCGTTTAGTAAATCCCACTACCAGTTTAGTCAGTCCAAAACTAACGATTCTGTTTAGTAGATTGGACTACCATGGTAGTAGAATCTACTACGCCCTTCTCTCCGTGTAGAGACGAAATACCATTTTTTGTGAAAAATCCTTGTAACTTTCTTATTTTTTGCCCGATTTCAAATTCATTTTTTAATTTTTAAGTTGAAAAACAGATCTTTGCAACTGTATAAATTATTTTTGTTGTATCTTCTTAATTGATGACGATAAGACTAAATACTTCCAAAAATTTCGATTTTTTATTGTTGCTTCCTCATGGAGGAAGCATTGTAATACCGAAATTTTTCGAACTTGATTTTTTGATGTATCTTTATGTTTTTCGACCTCAGGAATCCAAAAATCACATTTTTAAAAAATGTCGTTGTGTGTGTGTCTATATATGTACTACATTTTCTTAAATATCTCGAATACTATAAGAGCTAAAGGGATAAATTTTTTTTAAATTGTAGGTCTCACTGGCGGACAAATAATGAGAGTAGTTTGAGCAATATTAATAAAGATTAACTATTATTTTTTTGCATTTAAAAATTTTTGAAAAATCTTTTTTTGCCCATAACTTAAAAAAAATGTTAAGACACCTATGAATATTTTTCTTTAATTTTGTAGAATTTTTTTAAGACGCATCTTTTGAGCCATTGGCGAACATTCTACTGATATTCTATCCAAAGTTATTGAATTTTTAAAAATTAAAGAAAATAGTTTTTTGCCCATAACAAAAAAAATGTTAAGACACCTATGAATATTTTTCTTTAATTTTGTAGAATTTTTTTAAGACGCATCTTTTGAGCCATTGGCGAACATTCTACTGATATTCTATCCAAAGTTATTGAATTTTTAAAAATTAAAGAAAATAGTTTTTTGCCCATAACAAAAAAAATGTTAAGACACCTATGAATATTTTTCTTTAATTTTGTAGAATTTTTTAAGACGCATCTTTTGAGCCATTGGCGAACATTCTACTGATATTCTATCCAAAGTTAATGAATTTTTAAAAATTAAAGAAAATCGTTTTCTACCCATAACTTAAAAAAATGTATTGAGACCAATAGTTATTTATTTCTCGTTTTGTAGAGTTTTTCAAGACGCACCTTTTGGCCTATTAACGAATATCCTACTGTTATTTTATCCAGAGTTATTGACATTTTGAAATTGAAAATTTTTGAAAAACCTGCCTTTTTTGCCTTATTTATTAAAAAATATTTATGTATACAATCATTATGAACAACTTAGAGAATATTTAAAAGCATATCAATTGACCTATTATTGAACCTTTTATTGTGAAATATTATGAAGTTATTGATGTTAAAAATCTATCTCTGCAAATACCCAAAAATAAAATTTAACACCTTCTTAAAATTATAATCATACCAAATAAGTTACCATAAATTGATCACTAAAAGTCTCTATGGGAAAGCAAAGTGTTCATTTTATGAACACAAAAAGTTCAACTTGGCAGCGGTTTTTTCAATTTTTTTGATCGATTTGTAACTGTTTTCTGATGAGATATACCTTCTTTTGTTTTACACATCGAAAGTGTAGTCAATTCTGCTTTAACCCAGGCAGAAATCGACGACCGGTTTGGTACTGGGCCGGTGGCGAAGGCGGACTTGCCGGTACCGGCGGAAGTCCTGCATTCACACCGGCTCGTAGCCGGCCCAGTCAACAATGATAACTCGATTAATAACCGACCCAATCGCTTATTAGTTCCGGGCTGGTAGTAATAAACAACCGGTGTGGTACCGGGCCAGTTAAACAAAAAAAAATAAAAAGATTATAACACTTTTTTGCTGGCGTAATGCTGTCATGGTATCTGTTTATTACATTATGTACATATGTGTATTATTATTAATTTAATTAATTTAATCATTATTATTTCTTAATTAATATCAGTATATAGAATGCTGAAACAGAGTTATAATTAAAAACACCATAAACAATTAATTAAAATTTGAAAACACAAGGAATTGAACTCCGGACCCTGAGGCTGCAAAGTCGATGCCACAACCACTAACCTAAACCTGCTTGTGAAAAGTAACTGCAAAGTGAGCTTATCAACTATAACTGCGGGTAATTTCAAACTTTATTAAACGGAATACAAATAATTTTATATATACTTATATCATATACTTACGAATCATAAAAGAAAGTTTCTTACTTTTGTTTCAAGACGTATCAGACAAGTAATTTTCTTTCTTTCAAATAAATACTTTGGTGGTGTAAAAGCGGACACTGATGTCGGTACCGGGCTGACGCCAAGCCGGTACTAATGTTACTGCCGGCATAAATACGTTGGTGGTGTAAAAGCGGACTACAATGTCGGTACCGGGCCGGGGTCGGGCCGGTACTAATATTGCTGCCGGCAAAAATACTTAGAAGCTAAAACTGCAGACTCTGATGTCGGTACCGGGCCGACGTCGAGCCGGTACTAATGTTACTGCCGGCATAAATACGTTGGTGGTTTAAAAGCGGACTACAATATATATCCGACTTTACGACCGGACCGGTGACACACCGGTCGTAGACATCGGTAAACCTCCGACTTTTCTGCCTGGGAAATGACCCATAATTGGGTAGAATTCGTTAAAATTTGTCTAAGTTATAACACTTTTAATTTTATAGACACATTAAGTTTCATGTGTGATTTATAGTTTTTTCTAATTTTCATAAAATTTAGTAGATGTTTAGCGTAAATGCTTTGTACTCTTTAATTTTTAGTATACACTAACTAATTAAATTTTATGAAAATTAATAAAAAATATAAATCACGCATGAAACCTAATGTGACTATAAAATTAAAAGTCTGCTAACTTAGACAAATTTTAACGAATTCTAACTGATTAGGGGTCATTTGAAGCAGAATTGACTACACTTTCAATGTGTGAAAGGAAAGAAGCTATATCTCATCAGATAACAGTTACAAATTAATCAAAAAGTAGAAAAATCAATAAAAAATTGAAATTTTTGAAAGTATTTGGTCTTTACCGTGATCAATTAAGAAGATACAACAAAAATCCTTTATACAGTTGCAAAGATCTGTTTTTCAGCTTAATAGTTTTTTAAAAAATTTGAAATCGGGCAAAAAATAAGAAAGTTACAAGAATTTTTTCACAAAAAAATGGTATTTCGTCTCTATAATTAAATTTTGAGGGTGTATAAGCAATTAAATATACACCATTCTTTTCATTTTTTTATGCTCTACAAACTCTACTAGATCCGATAGGAAGTTTTTGAAGTCATATTTTTTTGTAACACAGTGTAATGGTCGTATTGCACATAATGTGGAACCAATATGACAGTTTTCAAGTGGTAAAAACATTGAACGATTATACCACGTTTTTTCTTTTTACCACGTTGTTTTATGGAAAAAACTGTTTTTGGTGATTTTCTTCTAACTTATCCATTTTGTTCAGAACGTGTTTATTTTGTAAATAACAGCATTTTATATAACATTTTTGGTTTTTCATAAGTGTCAGTGACTACTCTAGCAGGTAAACATTTGTTTAATTGTTTGTTGAATCATACTTTTTAGTGTCATTTCGCATGAGGGGGCAAAATGGGATATGGAATTTATTTTATCATACAATTAAAAACATATTATTGTAAGTACAAGAGTAAATTAGTTTTGAATAAATGTTTCATTTTTCTTGTAGAAGGGTAAAAATATTATAAAATAAAGACAAGTACAGAAAATTGGTCAGAAGAGAGCATGAAAAATGGGTTTCAACTTAGCAGCAAAAATATTTTCTGTCCCTCAAATCATTTTGGAAAAAAAGGTGAAGATGCAAAATTCACTTTTGAAGATTGCAAGCAATAATAAGTTGATTTTTTTGTAAACTCCAGCTTGCTTCTTAGGGTATCCCATTTTTGCCCCCAGGGAAGACAAAATGGAGATATGTGACTTTTTTTAAATTTTATGAATTTTATATAGAATTATGTAACAAATGTTCACATTAAGACTGTATAATTGAAGACTGGTTCTTAAAGATTATTATTCCAATAAATAATAAAATAGTGATATAATAATGTTAGTTTAATTAAACTTCAAACCTTAGCTATCCCATTTTGCTCCTACGTCCCCTAAGGGATTTTAATTGCTCAGTCCATTTAATGTTATCAGATTTTCATTAAGATTACCGTAAATGTGTAATTTTCACAGGAGCAACGCTGTACAAAAAGTTATAATTGATCAACATGTGAATTTTCAATGAATGTGTAATTGATTTAAATGTTTAAATTTATCGGCAGTATTGAAAATTCAACATTTTTATTTTAGTTTATTACACAAAATGTGTAAAAATTCCGCGACGACTTGAAACTTTCGACGCTTTCCAAAAGTTCTCGAATTTCATGGTAATGGTAATTTTACTCTCTTTCCCCTTCGACCTTCGTGAAAACAAGTGCTTTTTTTGAATTAAGTAACAAATATTGTTAACTTTATAATACATACAAAAAATGCCAGTGTAATTTTACTACGTCGGACGCAGTAAAAATACTGGCAACAAGTTGCAAATTTACAAACCGGAAAGTTAACAGACTATACATAACCTAAAAGTTGTTCTTTATATTTTGTAAATTTTTCACTTATTATACAAAAATTAATTGAAATTTAGTTGATTTTAAATCTAAAATATCTTTCTTTCAGTATATAAGTTTTACGCTAGATAAAAATGCGTTATTTCCTTACTTTTAGTTTCATAATATGTGCCGCACTTTATGTTCATGCGAAATGTTTTGAAAATTTTTTTTACACATTTCCAGTAAAATTTAATGCAATTATTAATTTTTATATATGTCAGTATAGCTTTATGTTGAAATTTCATATAAGACGAGAATTTTATAATCAGACAGCAAAAATTACACGTTGATCGATTGTAACTTTATTTACAGCGTGGGTCGTATGAGTTTTCAATAAGAATTTCTTACAGTGAACTCAGATCGGATTTTTTGCATATAATGAAATTATGCATATTCTACTGTGATTCACTAAGAAATTGTTATGGCCGTCATGGGTCACTTTACAGAATGTTGAAAGGTACACAGAATCGCAGAACTGTGGTGCTAGTAGCAGTGTCAAACTGTTTGCTGTCAGTTAGTCACCAGTCTAACCTGAAAGATATATTATAAATATTTCTAAATACGTTTATGAAAACGATATTTTTTTTATTCCAACTGTTTCAAATTTCTAACCATTTAAATATAAGAGAATTTAATATCAAAATAAAAAAGCAAATACCATGGAAATTCTTTTGAGCCAATTTCTTTTTAGAGAGGGGGGAAATTCCCCAAATCCTCTGATTTATCTAGAGAAGGGTTTTTGACCCCTTAATTATCCCATTGGTGTGTTTTTTTAATTACTTGTAATCGTATGTGTGCTTAAAATATGGGCCCTTTGGATACGTATCGTACTAAATCTAAGATCCAATTTAAAAATATTTTTAAACTTACCTATAATCTTGATCAGTACTTGACCACAAAGTGTTGTGGGAATGAGAAGTAGGCGAAGAATCATTGGTAGTACTTTGATTAGCTGGACTGCCAGTCAAACTGATAAGATTTCGATGATCTACATCTCCTTTTATAAGTCGATAAGGTAATTGTTTACCTAGCATTGGAAGAGGTATGACTCTTCACAAAAAATAATTCAATTTTAATAAATTTCACTGAGGAAGGAAATATTATTTTTATACAACTTAAAATTTGAAAATATTTTATTCACCTGTGATCAACGTCTCCGACACTACTGAGAAGAGGCTCTTGTGACTGAGGGTCATTATATTCAACAGGATCTCTAAATCCAGCTTTCTCATATATAGGCGGCGATTCTGGGGTTTCCATTAGAATATCATTATCTCTGACATTGCTCGTCCAAACATTATCAGCATGCATATTCCAGCCTCTATTATTAGTATCTCTCCAAACATTTTTCTCTTTTTCATCTTCCTCTTCTTCTCCTCCTCCATCTTGCCATGTAGGATTCATACTGTTTTTAGCTGTGAAACAGTGCATAAAAAATTTAATTATAAATAAAAATTAAATTTCACAAACGGACTTGTTGAAACATATTGGTACCAAAAACTGCAATGACTGTAACTTGTTAGTACCAAAAATTTTATAAGCTTTAATTTTTGTAAAGGTCTTTAACGGGTTAAAATGAAATGGAAGGGAGTAATTTAAGAAAACCAACCTTTTTAACATATTTCTCACCGTTTTTCAGGTTTTTTTAATGGGTTTAATTGTTGCAAAGAATTTAGCACATACGGATCTTTTATTTATGTTAATTTAAATGATTTAAACTTATAATAACCTTACTATTAATTATTTTCTAAAAAAATAGGTGTATTAATAGTTTCAAAATGTCGAAAAAATGAGTTTCTTTTAAAAAAAAAATTGCCTAAGAGATTTTTTTCTGTTTGGGTTCAAAATTATTAATAAACATCCTAAGAAGAAATCAGGAAAAAAAATTTATACGCAAGCTTGTGTTTGGGTTCAACTTCATTTACACCCACCGTCGGGTTCTCTATCAACCCAAAAATTTTAACTCAAAATCTTTATACATTTTAGATATAATTTGGTTTTTGCAAAATACATTTAGCATAGCAAGGGAATTAGGGACTCACGTGGTAGTTTCCCACATGGTCTTAAATAAAAATTCTATCCAATCAAAATTTAGTTAAATAGAAATTTTTCGATGAACCGACAGGTTTAATGTGGGGAATATTTATGAGCCCTTAATGTAACATTTTTAATATTTAAACTACACAATTTACGAACTACAAAGAGGTAGAATTGATTGTCTAACAGTTAGCTTGAATTGTGACAGTAATTAAACAAGTTTTCTTTTACAAGGGGCTTCCAAACGTGGTATTTTTAAAATTAATACTTGGGTAAAATTTTCTTGCAGACTTTTACTTTTCACAATATACTAGGTTATAAAGAATTGAATTTTTTGAATATTTAACACCATATGGAAAATTTCAAACACTTTTTGCTTGAAGACACTTGAGATGCGAATCGAACAACTTTGTCATAATTGTAGAGGCGCATGATTTTTCCCAAAAATTAAAAAGGTCGAAAATTTAATTGATCGAATTACATTAAGTCGATATTTTATTTGAACGAAATTCTAAATGATCGATATTTAAAATGGTCAACATTTTATTTGGTCGATATTTAAAGTGACCCATATTTTATATAGTCAAAATTTTATTTTATCGAAATTCTAAATGATAGACATTTATGAAGGTCGACATTTTATTCAGTCGATTTTTTAATCGGTCGAAATTCTAAATAACCGACATTTATGAAGGTCGACATTTTATTTAGTCGATATTTTATTTGATCGAAAATCTAAATGGTCGATATTTAAAGTGGTCGCCATTTTATTTAGATGATATTTTATTTGGTCGAAATTCTAAATGATCGACATTTAAAGTGTTCGAAATTTTATTAGTTAGATATTTTGTTTGGTAAATATTTTAAATGAACGACATTTAAAGTGGTCGATATTTTATTTGTTCGATATTCTAAATGATAGAAATTTAGAAGCATCGAATTTTATATGCATCGAAATTTAATTTGGTCGATATTTTAAAAGCTCGACACTTTTTAGCTACACGAGTTTTCTTTCTATGTAGTTTGTCGGTTAAGTACATTGAAATTTTGCGGGAAATTCGAAATTATTGATGTAAATAATAATAACAACATAGAGAGGAAACTCATATAGCTAAAAAAAATGTCGAGCTTTTAAAATATCGACCAAATTAAATTTCGTCGGGTATAAAATTCGATGCTTCTAAATTTCTATCATTTAGAATATCGAACAAATAAAATATCGACCACTTTAAATGTCGTTCATTTAAAATATTTACCAAACAAAATATCTAACTAATAAAATTTCGACCACTTTAAATATCGATCATTTAGAATTTCGATCAAATAAAATGTCGACTTTCATAACTGTCGTTCTTTTAGAATTTCGACCAAATAAAATATCTACTTAAAGTAATTCGATCAATTAAAATTTCGAACTTTTTAATTTTTGGGAAAAATCATGCGCCTCGAATTATAGATGGGTCATGAACTACATTTCAGCGAAGTATTATTCTTTTTAAAAGCACCACGTCTGGGAGTCTTCTTGTTGGTAGGCAGATAAAAAAATAATTGTGAATGCGAACAAATGGGGTGAAATTATTCTAAAGCAATGATATATCATATTCAACATCCAACATACCTTTTTCGTCCCAATTAGCCGGTTCTTTTGAAATTTCATTAGTAGAAGTCCACGTTGGGAACTTGGAAGGCAATTTATTGTAACAATTTTCATCATCAAGAAAAATTGGTGGTGGTAATGGTGGTGGGGGTAGCGGATTTGCTGAATTGACGTTGCCATCAAATGTTAAAATATTATTCTGGCTATTTTGACTCGAATAAGGTGAAGATGTATGAGACTCTCCACTTAAAGGTCTCATCGCTAATGGTGTGCTATGAAGTATATGGTGATTGGAGAGGTTGTTTGTTAACCTTTTATTTATCGGTGTTCCAGGAATGTGGCTAATATTGTAATCTCCATGCAACATATCCCCTTGACTTGAATCCAAAGCATCACCTAAACCAGGTATGTCACCAGCATCCATTGGTCCTTCAGATGATGGAAGAACTGTTTTCAAGAAACTAGATATACTGAAATCTTCATTCTTTTCCCGCGCAGAAGAATTAATTACTTCAATTTGATTAGTCTGCAGATAAAAAATAAATAAGATTATAATTACGGTCATCATTACTATAATTATGATAAGAAGTGACAACTCGCAACCCTACTGAAAATCCCCACATAGGCTCCTATATAGGAAGCCATATGGTTTCCTATACAAAATCGTATACGTAATTGGAACAGGAATTTGAATAGGAAATTAAGTAGGAATTATCATATGAATGCACATTATATCTGAATATCATGCGCAGTAGTTTTCTTCAACTTTTTCGGCTGCGCAATACATTTTTTTCATCCCTGTAGTCTATCAGGAACCTCTACTATTGAAAGATATATATCTTAGACTTGAAAAAAAAAATTCATATTATAGGAATTGAAATAGAAATGTACATTCCTGTGTGGATGTGGATTCATATGATAATTCCGACTTAATTTCCTATTCAAATTCCTGTTCCAATTACGTATACGATTTTGTATAGGAAACCATACGGCTTCCTATATAGGGACCCATGTGGTTTCCCATATGGGTGCCTATATGGGAATTTTCAGTGGAGAATGGTCTTACAAGGATCAGTTAACTCAGAATTCTCAAAACTCTGAATATAAATTTTTGAAATAAAAAATGGATTTTCTTCTAGAAAATCCTGATATTGTTAAAAGAAAATTAATTATTTAATATCTCCAACATAAGTAAAGAATTCATATTTATTACTGTTAAATTTATAAACAAAATTTTCCTTTCTCTAAGTTATTTAATTTATTTTTGCCTATATTTAAATGGCTTTTAAAACTTGTAATGTATTCTAAAAATTGTATGAAAATTATAACCTCCAATCATTGAATTTAATCGTCTAGATAAATTATCATAATAAGGAATAAAAAAAGTATTTTCATCTTGAAATTTATTTAATTTATTAGCTCATTACTTTCACTTCTTATATTTTTTGTTTAATGTATCTTTAATCATAACACATAAAATAAGGAATTTTAATTGTTCTATCTATTAAATTTTTATAATCACAATTTTTTCTTCAAAAATAATCTCAAAATAAGTTATTAAAAAATCTGAATAAGTTAGTTTCCTATTGGGATTTGACATTCGTAGACGTTCCACCTGGTGTTGAAAAATGTAACTACACGGAAAGAAATGCTATCAAAATTTCAGCCATAAACTTATGGTTGAGATTTCTGGTTGAATTCGTTATACAGTCTGTCAAATTGGCAGGTAAGTTAGGTTATATTAGCCATGTGAAGTCTGATTCAGACATCTTGCTCTTTGGAAGTACTATTCGTTTGGTTGGATTACCCAAACTGTATAGCAGTAACAGTGCCATGTTAATTCAGTTATACGATATGACAGAAACAGCAAGAATTATGGCAGTAATTACGAAAAATTTCTTTCAGTGTAGTTTTGGATAACTGCACGGAGAAAAATAGACATGTTACGAGAGTTAATACGTACGAACTCATGTGAGTTCTTTGTACGAAAGATCTTATGATCTTAAGGGTAGGTCCTAGTAAAGCAGCACCATCTATATCGAAATTAAAATTTCGTAAAATTCGCCACAGTATTTACTTGAAAACAAGACAATAACATGCTATTTTGTGATTGGTGAATCTCAGCTGGTGTATTTTTTAGTATTTATTAATTCTCCAAATGAAAATTGCATTCTTTTTTGTTATTTCCGAGGAAATATTTAAAAAGTTTTCGTAAAAAAATATGTTCATATTTAATTTATCGTCATTAATTTTTTTTCATTATTTTAACTAAAAAAAGTTTTAGCTGGTGTATTTCTTGACAATAATCAATTAAACTAAAGGAAAAAGCATTTTATTGTCTTGTTTTCAGGTAAATGCTGTGGATAATTTAATGAAATTTTTGTTTCGATATAGATGGTGCTACTTTACTGGGACTTACCCTTAAGATGGTTAAAAGTAGATATTATCCGGTACCATCAAAGATGTTACAAAAAATATGGTTATGTTACCTACTACAATCAAGATGTTACTCCGTACAATCTGGATTGTAACTGATAGAATCTAAATAGCTGTCGGTATATGTAAGATCAAATACCTGATACTATCTAGATAGTACCCCGTACCATCTATTTCTCTCCATGTGTTTGTACCCTTAAAATACGTCCATTCATACATTTTTATAAATTTATTACATGAAATATAAAAAAAATATGCAACCCATTCATTGCACACGCACTGCAGCACCTGCATTTGAGAAAGTAATGTATGCAATAATAAGATTTTTTTTTCGCCATTGACATAAAAAAGTGTCTTTTTTGTGCAGAAAACTGCCATATAAAGTCTTTTTTAGGCAGTAAACTGCCCTATAAAGTCTTTTTTAGGCAGTTGTTAATTTTTGCATAATTTTTATTTTGCTTTTATTTTATATACTATTTCATATATATATATATATATATATATATATATATATATATATATATATATATAATATATTTATAATATATAATACATAATATATAGTATATATATATATATATATATATATATATATATATATCTTCCTATATTACAAAAAGATATCGCCGCCGCCGCCTCCGCCGCCGCTGTTTCAAGAATTCTTGACCTAGGAGGGGGAAGTCCCCCCTCCTAAATTTCGAGGTTATGTTCGTTTCAAGGCTCTGAATTTAGCCGCAAGTCCGCCTCCCTCCTCTCATTTCCCCTTCTCCGTCAAAAATGACCTAAATTTTGAGGTTATGTTCGTTTCAAGACTCTGAATATAGCCGCAAGTCCCCTCCCCCGCCAGAAATGACCTAATTTTGAGGTTATGTTCGTTTCAAGGCTCTGAATATAGCCGCAAGTCCCCCTCCCTCCTCTCATTTCACCTCCTCCATAAAAAATGACCTAAATTTTGAGGTTATGTTCGTTTCAAGGGTCTGAATATAGCCGCAAGTCCTTCCCCCTTCCCTCATCTCTCTCTGTATTTCCCGCCAAAAATAGGGGGGTTGGCGCGCGAAGCGCGCAGGGGGGCGTAGCCCCTCTAGTATATATATATATTTCTTTAAAATTGTTTCTTTTTTTCATAACAATGGCGAAAAAAATAGCGTATCTGGCTCGCACGTAGTAATTTTTAGGTTCGGATGATTTCAATACTCGCTGTCTGTGCGACTTCGGTTCGACTTGGCTCGCTTTCGGCTCGTCTTCGTCTCACCTACGTCGCACTAACGACAGCTCGTACTGAAAATTACATCCTCACCTAAAAAGTACTACTTTACGTGCTTGCCACATAATATACTATTAATATTTTTATGCATATTTGCAAACAGGAATGTAAACAGTAACTTTGTATTAAAAAAGTTCACTTATACATTTTTTAAATTAACCAATGTTTCACATTTCTATACTGTATTCCATGTAAATTCACTAAAAATGTTATCCAAATTACGCCATATTGCTTTAGGCCAAGCCCCCATGTCAAATCCCAATATCAGTTAGTAATTATTTAATCTGTTTTTATTAATAAAACTTTCAAGAGATAAAACTTCATTTGAAAAGTGAATTTATGATATTGTATAAATAAATCAAATTAAAATAATCTCTTCGCCATCATGGAATCTTTGCACTGTTCACTTACGTTAGATGTCATCGAACTCTCGCTGAATACATTTCGCTGAAAAAATTAATTATAATTTATTTTTTAATTCTTTAATTTATGATTTAAATGTTCTGTTAGAAAAAGATTATTAATTGTAAGTTAAAGAAACATACCATATCAAAGTCCATGTTTCCGTCCATAAAAGATGAGAAGTTGGGAGTAAAATCTCCAGATTGATTCAAGAGGCCAGCGGAGGAAGGTTCGTAATCCGGATTATAAGACCCATACATACTGGGCGGTGCGATTTCAATAATCGTTGATTTTTGACTTGATAATTGTAGTTCCTCTCCAGGAAGTTCAATATCACTATCTGGACTTGGACTCGGTGCGTTTATATCCGGTGATGGTATTGGAGAAGTTAACATTGGTAGAAGTTCGTCTAACTTCTTTTTTAAATGCTTCACCCTACTTCCAAAGTTTCTGTAGGCCTGTAGAAAATTATGATTAAAATTAAAACTGTCTTGATAAATAGATAAATAAAATTAGGATGAAATGGAGCATATTTGCACTTCTAATTCTTTTTTGGATTTTTAAAAGGCAAAAATGATTAACCCGTAACTAGCTCCAATCATGAAAAATTGAAAAGTACAAATACGCAATACAATCCCCTAAATTTTCCATGATATTGTATATAAACGTACATTAGTAACAATCTTAACTTCTCCTCGTTGAGTTTCATAAAATTGATCAGCTTGCTCAAGCAATTCCAGAACCTGTGTTCTTTCCCTGATTTCAGCTTCAAGAGCACGTACATAATTTTCAACATTTCTTACAGCAATTTCAACCTCTTTTTCAGCATCTTCGACGTGTCTTCGATCTTTTAAAGAAGCACAAAGTTCTTCTGCGTTGTCAATATCTACATTACTTTCTCTTAAATCACGAAGTCTAGCGTCAGTTGCTTGTTCTAAAGTAGAACAAGAACGCATTGTTGAAATAAGCAGAGCAGCTTGAAATTCTTCAGGTACTACTGGCTGAGGTTCTGGTTTCTTTTTTGGTGCAGCTTGAATTAATCCAGATAAATCAGTGAGAAATTCTTCATCGTAGACTTGACGCTGGTCCCAAATTTTGAAAATTCGTAAAATGCGATGCTTTACTTTTTCATCACGAACCATTGTTGTAGCTCGCTGCAATGTTGTGCCCCAAGATTCAACAAACTCAAAGTTTTTTCGTTTCGAATACTGAATAACATCGTTGGCCAAGTAGAAAAGTGTCAATCGATGTTCCACTTTCACTGTAATTTCAAAATAGAAATTTAATTACAATTGTCTTCATAAATAAAAGAGCACTGTAAAATATTTTACATTTAATAATAAAGTAAGACTGGTATAAATATATCACTCCGAGAGTCAAGGAAACAAAAAGAAAGGGAAAAGTTCTTAACATTTTGGACCGCGATATTTTACGGATATGGCCGAAAGGTAATAAAAGGAAAACAATAAAATTATGTTCTTTTAAATTTTAAGTTTGTAATAGTATAGTAATATTGTACTTATAGTCTGTCACAGAACTGACAGACGGACTAAAAAACATTGTTAAAAGCAGGGATGTGCCCGGAAACAGAAATTCGGTTCCGTTCCGTGCTGTCGGCATGGAATGAAAGTCGATAGGACTTTCGTTCCGTTTCAAGACTCGAAACGAAAGTACACTGAGAGACCTTTTGCACCGTAACATACTTTCGACAGACGGCTGCGGAGCATTCTAGCGGTCAGCTATGAAACTACGTTTTTGGTCTCAACCATATTATATTGAAAAATACGTCCCAACCATACCTCCGGTTGCTCCAGCCATATTAAATAGCTAGCTTTAAATTGTTAGCACAACTAGAATATATGGCTGTGGGAACCATATATTTGGAAAACATACAAATGCTAATATGGATGTGACAACCATTTTTAATTGATGCTTCGACCATTATTTAGTGTACCATATTAATATTGTTGAAGCAACCATTTTATATGGTTACAATTTATGTTTATTTTATTTGTTTAATATTATCAAGAAGGTTATTTTTGATTAATTTAAAACATTGAGTCCCATAAAAACATATTTATTTTTTTGAAATAATCGCCAAATACAAATTCGTTAACAAAATAAACAATCGTATAGCACCTTTTATTATAATATTATAATTATAGTACGTGCCTAAGTGTCGCAAACATTGAAGAATTTTCCCATTTACAAATTATGACAGGGAAATGTGAATGTAAATTGTTTAAAAGGACGCAGTCAACTTCGAAGCCTATTTTTTTTAAGGAAATCAATGTACTCAGCTTCCATTTTTTAACTTAAAAAACACATTAACCGGGATCAATATAATTCTTAAATGATTATAGAAAATGTTCATAGGTATAAATATTATATGGTTGCCACAACCATTCTTTTTTGTCAATGTATCCATACTGAAAGCTGCTTCAGCTATATGTATGGATGCCTCAACAATATTATGACCAACAATATTTTTATGGTTGGGACAACGATACCTTTTCTTTCCGTGGATAAGACACTCATAGATGAGTGGCGCCACTTTAGTTCAAGTCCTAAATGTCCGCCAATCTTGGGTGACTCGTTCACCCAACTGACAACTTTTGGCAAAAACTCACATCAAGCAAAGTCGATTCGTTCGCTCAGAAAGGCGAAAGATTCACCCAAAAGTGAAAGTGTTTTTTCACGCGACGTGCAATGTAACTCAGCCAATTTTTAACCGATTTTAATCAAACTTACCACAAATCTTCTTAACTTACTGGCTATTGCATGACGAGCTCCTTTTTTTTAAAAAAAATTTAAAAATTGTTTTTGAACATTGTTTATAAGAAAAAAAGTGATTTTTTTCAAAATAGTCCCAAATTTTCAAAAAAAATTTTTTTTAATTTTCTCTTCGTCATGCAAAGCGTATTTGCGTATTTTAACGGTAAAAATTTTGATTTTTAACTTTAGTTGAAATTTGTTACCTGTAGGCTGTACGGCGCAAAATTAAAGATGCAACTTCAAACATCTGTAAAGCCGCCATTTTGTAATATTTTTTAAAAAAAATTTTTTATAAAGCTTATACTGTGTACTTTAAGGTATGATTTACTTTAATTCAATAAACTTAACCAGTTTTAAAAAAAAAATTCCTAAAAAAACGTGCATTTACACGAGTTTTCTCCCTTAAATCCACTTATTCCCTTTCATACAATGACAGTGCCTGTGGACTCAACATGTCTATCTCTGTCTGTCTGAGCGCGTTTGCTTACTCTTAGGACGGAAGTACTTTCGTTTTGGAATGTTCCGTTAATGATGCTTGATACAGAACAATCTATTTATATCTTATCGTTCTGGTCTTGGAACGGAACGAAAGTACCATGGACTTTCGTTTCTGGTCTTGAAACGAAACGAAAGTCCCTCTGTACTTTTGTTTCTGCTTTCAGGCACGGAACGGAACAGAAGTGATTTTTCCTTTTTGTTCCGTTTCCGGACACATCCCTGGTTAAAAGTCTACTTTAATACCAGGAAGTTTTCACAGTAAACTTAATCAAAGAAAAAGCGGAAGAATATCAGATGTATATGGAGATGGAGACCCTTTTTCATCCTGCTTTCAAAACTGTGAGGCTGAATGTGATGTTTGCAATACTGTGGATAAGATAAAATTTGCTTGGTGCACAAGTAATAGAAATATATACCTTCATCTGTTATTTGATGATGACAAAGATTATATGTTAGATAATACAGTGAAACCCTCTTAGCGGACACCTCTTAATAGCGGACACTTCCTTTAACGGACGAAATTTGAAAGTCCCGGCAAAATTAAATTGTTTTATATGAGATAAAAACCTCTCAATAGCGGACCCTCCCAAAAGAGGACGCCTCTCTTAACGGACACTTAAATTTGCAAAAGAACGGACACTTGACCGGTTATTGATGTTTTCAATTCTAAAGTCCTTTCGGACCATCTTCTAATTCTTATCTTCATATCGATAGCATACTAACTACAGAAATTTCATCATTAGAAGAAAAGGTCCAACAGGCGTTGGCAAAAGTGCTCCAGAAACCAGGAAGCTAGAAAATAACGGTCCTAGGACCCAACCGACGGGGAATGAAGTTTTAGTGACCAACCCAGAGAAGGCGGAAGGACTGGAAAAAGAGGGGTACATAAGGATTGGCTTTATGTGTTTCCCAATAAAAGAAGGGTGATGGCCGTTCGGTGCCTGGCATAGGAAGTATTTGTAAGGCAGCGGACAGATCGATTGCGTGCTTCAAGTGCAGTGAATAAACAAATGATTAATTGTTATTAATCATCAGCTATTTGATCGACCTTTTTATGAAATAAAAGGTTTTTTACAAAAAGTAAGCAACCTATATTTTTTTAATTCTTTGTATCTTGTTCCTTGATGTATAATCTTTGTCATCATCAAATTACAGACGAGGGCACATATTTCTATCACGGATCTTAGACTATTTGTGCTTTACACATTGGTATGCAAAGTATCATTACTGCAAACAGTATATCGAGTAATTTTTATTTTTTGACTTAAAAGTTTTGAAGTCTTCTTATTTATAGTTAGTTTTTTAAGGAAAAATTTATTTAAAATATTTTATGCATTAATTTATTTATTTTCTAATAATTTAAAAAAAAATCTCAAAAACATAAAAAAGTGCCTAATCATACCGTAAACCAATACGTGATCCACTTCGGGGTCGTAAAGTATATATAAAATCTTTGTTCACCAGCTAAATATCTTTAATTCAGTTCTCTATATGGGATATGACACTTTTATTTATTTAAACATAAGTTAAAAAAGTGGTGTTCGTAAATCTGACCTCAGATTCGACATCAGCCACCCCAAAAATCCCTAGATAGCAAGTTTCATAAATATTTATCAATTTTTTTGAAAATTTGTTCCAACATTTTAAATTTTAGAAATATGACCTCATATTCGTAATCAGCGACCTCAAAAACCCCTAGATACCACGATTCATGTTCCATGGGAATTAATTATATTTTTTATGAGCTTAGATATTATGTACTAAGCTAGCTCGGAACAATGCTTTTCGTACAGTCTTTGATATCGATACGAGGGCGATTCTTTATTAATTAAAGATAACTCTTCTATTATAAGTAATAAAAAAGATTACAACAAATTATAAATAATACTGAAAGTGAGAGTATAAAATATTTTAAGCATAATAATGAAATGTTTGACTTATTGAAAGTGGTACGTACAATTACTGGACATGGTGAATTGAAAAAAATGTATAATTCTTTTGAGAGACAAATACGCCAATATAAGGCGTCAAGTAATTTTATTTTTTTAAGTGTTTGTGCAACATGTGTTAAAAAAAGAGCACATCCAAGCAAAGGAGTTGTGGTGAACCCAATTTTAACGAAAGAGACTTATACACGGGGGCAAGTCTATTTAATTGACAGGCAGTCTAGCAAAGACGGTGATTTTAAATTCATCTGCAACTATCAAGATCATTTAACAAAAACAATGTTATGACCACTGAAAAAAAGCAGTTGAAGTGTGTTACAATTTAATTCACATCTTATGAATCTTCAGTGCTCCATCAATCCTTCAATCGGACAATGGGCGAGACTTCGTCAATTTTGTTATTAATGAGTTAAGTTAAACGTAATGTGGCCTGACTTGAGAATTGTACATGGTGAGCCTCGCTATTCTCAAAGCCAGGAAAGTGTAGAAAGGTGCAAAAGAGATGACGAAGAAATTATATGACCGCGGATGTTAGATAATAATACAATTAATTGGAGTGAAGGTCTACGTTTCTATTTGTTCCAAAAAAAGAACGGGTTACACTCTGGAATTCGACAATCACTATTTAAAGCAATTTTTGACAGAAAGGACACACTAGGATTGTCAAGTAGAAATTTTCCAAATACAGTAATTGAAACATTGAAATCTAAAGAGGATTTGGAAAATGTAATAAATAATATTGTTTAAGATGGAGACAATATTGAAAAAGAACCTTCAGAGTATACATCAAAAACTATTATAAATAAATTTCATGACATTTTAACAAAAATAAGCGGTTAGCTACTAACAGACTAGAGCAGCATTTATAAAAAAACTAGTAAGTTTTTGATACATTCATATATGGAACTTATAGCAAAAAATGTTTATTTTGAGAGACATTAATTATTCTGGAAATCGATTACGAAAGGTCTCACAAAAATATTAGTAGTGATCGTTAGACTCTCGTGAAGGGAAGTAGTATACCCCCACTACAGTGTGACCA